ATACTGTGTAATTTTAGGATCAAGATCACAACTAAGTCACCAGGAAATAAAGTTTAGCCTAGATGTTGAGAAAAGTTGGTAAAATAAAGAAATAGAATGTCCACTAGTGGTACTAACAAAAATATCTTTAAATTGTATTACAGCATTCTTCTAAAACTTGTATCCACTAATTAAAGGAAAACATTGGGATAGGGAAGAGGAATTGGGAGATAGGGGGAGAATTAAAATAAGTTTGCAAGATTTTTTTAAATTAATGAGTTTATGAGTATTTAGGTAAAGGAATTCCTGCAACCTTTTGAAGTTAGTGGATTTGTCTCAGTGTTAAAGTTTTATTGTCAAAAACTATCACAAAATACACAGTCAACATTAACATGTTAGTGGTAGTTTTTATTTCTCATTTTAATTGTAATTTTCTAACCTGTTCTGATATTGCTGTCCATATTGTATTCTTGCCATGAAAATCAAATTTCCGTACTAAATTTTATTTTTCACTTTTCTTTTGATATTATCAAGTGTTCAATAATTAAGAAGTGGTTTTCTGATGAAAAAAATGCTTTTCACATTATTTTAGTGTGCACAGTCTCTACCTTTTGGTTGGACTTGCACATTGCTTTCCTTTAATACTGTCTTAGACTTGGAATTAATTTGTCTATTTAGCAGGAGATGATGAATCCAAGTTAGATGATGCACATTCATTAGGCTCTGGTGCTGGAGAAGGATACGAGCCAATCAGTGATGATGAACTAGATGAAATTCTGGCAGGTGATGCAGAAAAGAGGGAGGACCAACAGGATGAGGAAAAGATGCCAGGTAATCATTCGCAGAGGTGGTTGAACATAAAAATTATCTGATTTATAGTATTAAAGTATTCTTTATTCCTTTTTGTGCTGTCAGAATTGATATGAGACCCTTAGGATTTTCCCCTCTGTATTTTAATTAAGGTTGAAAGGCCAGTAAAATGTAAATTATAGTCTATACATCTACTCATTTTTAAGTAGACTTTGTATTTGAATTAGAAAAGACCTCATTTAAAATAGCAAAATTTTAAGATTTCCTTTCCAGAGTTTAAGATTCATATTATGTGACCCGGAATCTAACCAAATATTGATTGCCTAGCAGTGTTCTACATGGTAGGTATATGATACAGAGCTTCACAAATGTGGTACTACAAACCAACTTTTTAAACAAAAATTTACAATAGTTGAAATTATATTTGAACATTATTTATATACCTCTTGCTATCAGTTTTCTAAATTCAGTAATTATTCTGATTTATAATACTTTGTACATTGCCATAGCTCACTGTAGTAATTATACCATGATGCATATATCTATCCCTTGACATTCCTGTTAAATCATCACAATTAGTTTCTGATAGTTACTAACGGTGGGGGTTGTTTTTATTTTCATTTTTTTAATCATAGTAAAGGTCTTTGTTTGGAAATGTAAAATATTAAATTTTTACTTTGATTTAATTTGTTTTTATATTTTACAATTTTATCTACTAATGTAGAAGGTATGTATGGTTGCTATCTTCATTATTTTCTGGTATTAGGTATTTCTAAGTAGAGCATTACTTCTTCAACTGTTCCTTCTAAATGGATGGATTATTAATTCTCAGTATTAATGTGATAGTCACTGTCTGATTCTTAAAGGCATTTTATAATAAATTGCTCTTAAAAATTAAAATGTATGTGTGCGACTGTCTGATTCTTAAAGGCATTTTATAATAAATTGCTCTTAAAAATTAAAATGTATGTGTGTGTGCATGAATGCAAACTAAATATACTCCTATATATAATCCTTGAAAGGATTCTAGTACCAAATTTCAAAACATCAGACCTAATCTTGGTGAAATAATGGAATTCTTTCATTGGGGATCTCCCATGTAATTTAAATAAGTTATTTGTAGGGGTGAGTTAACTTACCTGTTTTCTTTTGTGATTTTTTTTATTTGTAAGCGTCCTTTGATTCTAAATATTAGTTTATAGGAAAACTTTCATTTTTAAAATATGACATTTTTGGTTTAAAGTACTTGTCATTTAATGTTTTCTGTGTTTGCTTGATTTATATTTCTGTGTAGACAACAAGACTGCTATTTCTTAGTATTAAAAAATCCTATTCTTTGACTTTTTACAGATCCATTAGATGTGATAGATGTGGATTGGTCTGGTCTTATGCCAAAGCATCCAAAAGAACCACGAGAGCCTGGGGCTGCACTCTTAAAATTCACACCTGGAGCTGTATTGCTGAGAGTTGGAATTTCTAAAAAGTTGGCAGGTTCTGAACTCTTTACCAAAGTCAAAGAAACATGTCAGAGAGTTTTAGAAAAACCAAAAGGTAATTTCATTATACTTTAACTTAAAATATCTGCTATAACCATTAAGATACCTTTGAAAAGGATTCTGTTCTGTTCTCATGTAGCACTTACACTATAGGAACTATTTATTAAGGAATTAATTTATATTCATTATTCAATCCTCATGGTCAAAATTCCTTTTTAAAATTTATTTTGGGAAAAATTTAATCCCATAGAAAAGTTGCAAAAATAACGCAGTGAACTTTCTGTATCCAAATTACTTTTAAACAAATAAGTTCAAATGTCAAAGTGCTTGATGGTTTACCCAGGTCTAAATGAAGCAGAGCCCGGAAAAATAGACAGATATTTTTCATATCTAAGCAGATTAGGTATTTTGGCAACCCTTTCCCCTGAGATATGGAGAATTCTATCCAAATGTAGATGTCTAGGTTGAGCCTTTAACAAAGTGGCTAAGAGCTTGATCTGTAGGGCCAGATGGTCTGTTATTTAATCTATGTGTCATTATATAAGCTGGGAATAATTACACCACCAACTTCCAATGGTTGTTATGATAAACAAATGAGTTAGTACAAGTAAAACACTTAGAACAGTTCCTGGTGTGTAATAACACTTAATAGTTATTAACTGTTACTATTTAGTTTGAAAATATTTATCACATTGATTTTTGACCTTACTGCCACATTTTTAATTATTCCAGAGTACTTTAATTAGTTTATGGATTCTTGGTTTTTAGCTATTTCTCTTATCTAGTATCAACTTTAATTTATTTTGCAGCCTATTAATACTTAATGGGGAGGGGGAGTGGGTGTTTAAAAAAAGGAAAAGGAGGTTAAGGGTGAAAGCAACATTAACAGTTCTATGTCATATCTCAGAGTTAAAGTCTAATTAAAAGAATTAAGTTTTTTACTAATATAAAATTGAAAAAGAATTGTTTTATGAATTTCATGAATCCATGTGCTTCCTTTCAAACCTATTAGCATAAGCAGTAAAATTCTTGATTTTAACATGGTCCAACAAACATAGAGTGTATGTATATGAAATATATGTAATTACAATTGTGAACACATATTAACCTGAAAAATGAACTTTTCTTTCTTGTTTAGTTGGTTATGTGGCCTTAAGCAAGTAACTCCTGTGAGCCTTAATTTAATTTGTAAAGTGATGGAATAAAACCCCTGAGATCTTATCAACCTCTAAAGCTATTTGTTCCTGTGACTTTTGCTAATGGCATTAAAAGCTAAAATCTTGTTTAATTTTGCTATGAAATACAATTTGGCCCTTACTTAATGATGTCTTAACCTAAACAATGAAAATACACAATGTAAAGGGGAGTTTGTTGCTTAGCAATCAGACTTCCCCCCCCCTTTTTTGCTGCTATGGTGGTTATATCATAGAACTGATATACAATGCTGAATATATTTTATGAGGAATGGGACTTTGTTTTGTTTAGTGCTGTATCCAACGTCTGATTGCCTATTCTTACTAATTATGCTGTTGCCTAGAACATTGCCTGACACATAGTAGGTATTCAGTAAATATTTGTGAAATAATTGATACTGGTTTTTCTGTTCCATTTGGTCTATTTCAGTGCCCCAACACTGAAGAGAGTATACCCTCGCCACAGATATTATTTAAAAACAAAAAACAAAAAAAAAACTAAGGCTTAAAACAGAAAACTTGTGTGTGTACTGAAATTGAAATTGCTTTTGTATAGGTTTTCTAATTGCAATATAGTTAAGTTCTGTTGAGCTAAACTTTCCCAGTAATTTTGGTTCCTTTGTTTTACTTGCTTTTAAGTATGTGTTTAGTCTAGTCTGTCTCTTGTATAATTTGGTGCTAGTCATTTCAGAATTATGAAGAGACTGAGAGTTTAGCCATATTATATTCTCTAAGGAGATTTGCAAGTGTTTGTTTGGTATTCTGCTCTTGAGAAAGTGAAAAATAAGGATGCCAATAAAAAGAAATTTATCCTAATGAGCAACGTATAAGAGGGCATGGGCTAATTCTTCTATATTTGTATTTATAGTGGAATGGTAGTTAATGTTTTTGTATTTGTTTTAAGTTGTATGCATATATAACTATGTCATTGTTTGGCTAGAACATTGATATGTCTGAATCATCTGAGGAACAGCCTTTTTTTTTTTCCCTTAAGCTATCCTGGTCCAGCTATGGAGATTCTGATCCAATAGGTCTAGTGGTAGAGCCCAAGGAATGTATTTTTAAAAGCTCCTAAGTTGATTCTGATAGACTCCAGAGTTTGGGAACTAGTTTCAGTTTTTCTTTGTATTTATTTACACTTTTCTGATGTTATGTACCTATTGACAAGTATATAACCTATTGACTAGGTATATCACATGAGACTAGTTTCTTGTT